TTGTGTGAAAATAAACGAAATATATTTTCGTTCAAAATGTGCGAATGTGTGTTTCGAAAAGTTCACTCTGCCTGCCAAAGCAAGAAAAACGTTTGCTAATTTCTCTGCATTAATTAATTTTCATTCTTATATATTCTGTATCTGTGAAAAGCGGCAAAGTACGTTTGTTATAACTTAATGTAATCAAAATTTGATTTGTCCTTGGGTGATGTGCATTTGTCCTTGGGTGATGTGCATTTTCCCCACAAATTTTGCTATTAATACGTTTGATATTTTTCAAGTTTTGTTTTTCTTGTTTTTCAATATTTTTCATGCTGACAGTCAGACAAGTACACACACAGACACAGGCGGATGTAGACTTAAGGCCCTGTCACACTATAGCCTGCATGGCAGGCGGTCTAAAATACCGCCTGCTGGGTTTGGCAGTGTAATTTGATAACCGCCCACTTTTTTGTCCGGGTCCAATTAGCCAATCAGCAAACACTAAATATATTAATAATCAAACTGTCAAAATATGTTATTGTTTGGTTGCAAAATTGCAAATGTTTAAAAATATGTCGAAAGAAACGCCATTGAAAGTCTCAATCAGGACCGAATAAGGCGAATAACGACAAGAGGTAGAAAAGCAAGCGCGGAAAATGTAAATGACTTAAGTGTGCTTTGAAACTAAAATACGGGGCAATACGCCAATAGAGAAAATATCTTATATTCTTAATAATCGTTGGAGAAATTATTTATTTAAGGAAAGCAAAAGAAACGTTACGACAGTGGTAAAACCTTGGCCGAAATAAGCCGAATTGCCGGTTCAGTTAATTTAGGAATCGAAGGTAATTCTACCTCGGAACTATCCGACCAAGTTTGTAAACCGTGTGAGCGAAAAATATCCGAAATGCAAGCGAACTGATTGCCATAATGAAACGAGACATAAACGCGTTGCCTGTGTACGTTCGAACAAATAGACAGTTGTATATTAAAAACCTCAGTTGCCAATATGAACTGTCTCGTCTCCCTAACGAAGCCGTGTGGTAAAGAAAGCCTTAAAAAGTTCAGAAAGTGAAGCGGCTATTAATAGGCATAGGCGTAATAGTCCTGTTATAAAACCCGTTGCAAGAAAGACTATACGGCCGTCTGTATCTATTCTCGTTATATTTTCTCGCGCCAACAAGAACAATGTAAAAATCAAGCTTTTTCCATAGAATGGTCAAAACATTCTTTCCAAGGAGTAAATCTTTAACTGCTATCTCTTGCTCGCGTTTGACAATCAGTTCGCGTTTCGACTTTCGAGAAGCTTTCAGTTTTACAACACCTATTAATTAAAGCGAACGCATGCATCATTAAAGTGTCAAACGTATGTTTACATATTAAAGTGTATTCACTTTTGAGTGACAGCGGCTCAGACTCGCAGCCAATCATCAATTCCCGTCCACTGGTGGACGGGGAATTCGATTACACTGCCAAACCCAGCAGGCGGTATTTCCCAGGCTTGCCCAATTTTAGGAACCGCCTGCCATGCAGGCTAGTCACACTATTGCGTATCGTACTAGCGTATGCCAGCGTATGAAAAATATCACTCATACGCCGGTATACGCTGACGTACGCTAGGGGTACGTTAGGGAAAGGTTGTATACGTTTCAAGCACGGTCGCGTACGGTGGCATACGCTGGCATACGGCGGCGAGGCAGAAAATGTTTTTTAAGCATGCTCGAAAATTTTGTGCGTACCGGACGTATGCTTTATACGATAAGCATACTCTAGGCACACGCTGAATACGCTAGAGATACGCCAGATGTACGGTACTCATACGCTGGCATTTCAAAGGATTTTTGTGCGTATGAAAATTATTTTATTAATTTGCATACGCTTCTCATACGTTTCTCTCATACGCAATAGTGTGACAGGGCCTTTACCCTCGCAGCGAAGGTATATAGTTACAAAACATTACATTACTTAACTTTAAGTGTGAAATGGTATAAGATATAGCAGAGACATGTTCACCGAAATATTTTCCCTGCTCTGTTCGCTCGCTGTACCGTATTAGAGAGGTCGACTGTATCCTAATTAGCCTGCGAGCAGGCTCACTAAGCTTATCTTACCAATCCACATTTTGCCACTCATCCCCTCCTCCCGGTCAACATTTCGTAATGCTATTCTACATAGTGCATATTTTGATGTCTCCAAGGAATTGCATGTTTAGCCCTCCTCCCAATCCTACAAATGAAAACGTGGGCTTTCCTATAAAGACGTGATTCTCTTACATACATTTTCCTCATGAGCCAATATACTTAAATCTATAGTTTTAAGTGGCGCCCTATCATCCTACGTAGTTACTCGGCAGATGTATCTAAATATAGGAGAAACTATATATGACGAAAATTTTGGAACTAAAGTGGTAAGAAGGTTGGACAATAGCACCTGGCATTTAATTTTATTACGTATATACTATTTCAATTGCTGGATGTGAATATCAAATATTAGAGAATTTTAAGACTGACGTTCGCAGAAAACCTCTATCAGCGAACGGCAAACCTCAAATCGCATTTAAAAATTTTACAAGATTTTGCCGGCTAAGTAACTAATTCAAGCTTCAATTTTAATCTACAAATTGTCGAACTTCAATGTATAACAGTTGGCCTAAAAATACGATTACATATTTGAAGTTTGACGTAGGCGGTTAGCCGGGTGGGAGTTAATTAAACAAGTATAGAACACAATGCAAGTCTTGGTGGCAAGGGCAACGGCTAAACAGTAGTCAGTGTATCCATCATATCCATTTTATAGCCGATTTCAGAAGATTATTAGTAAGACAAGGAATTTACGAATAGAAGATTTCTATAATCGAGATTCTTCTGAAGACTGTACTTGTCAGTTGACCCGGAAAAAGTATTTTAATGTCCCTGAGAATATCAGCCCTTTTCAAATATTTTTCCAAAGCACGAAAACACAATAACACAAAATATGAAACGAAACAAGGGAAAGAGGGTCATGAATGTGAATCTAAATTCCATTTTCCAGCCCAAATTTTATCTGAAATCTTATTTTCCAGCCATTTTTTAGATGAAATCCAAGTTCCATATTCCATATTCCAACTGTAATTGAAAGAAAATTCCAGATCATGCAGGTTGTTCATCTATGTTAATTAAACTGATTTATTTCAATTAACTACAACTGTTTTTATGTGATGGTATATGGAGTTTTCCGAGTCTCAGTTGTGTCTTTCATTCCCAGTTCAAACACAAATCATCCCATTTTCCCAGATAGGCAATCCCAGTTCCCATTTTATCCCTACAGGACCTTCTGGAAACAAAATAATCTTCGATAACAACATCTCAAACTCATTAATAATTCATGCGTAAATTAGCCAACCATATTGCTTTATTTTGCTCACATGATAATACTGGATACCTGGTGAAGAATATTGATCCAGTCCTAGAACTGCATGGATCAAAATTAATTCACCTCACTTTAAATAGTGATATATTCCTATGAGCTGTCATTTCAAACACCTCCAATTCGGAGTGGACTAGATTTCAAGTCCTCGCCGTTTTGATCCAATTGCGCGGACCAGAAATCTAGACCAGTATCAAATTATGTAAGTATGTAAGTAAGTAAGTAAGTACGATTAGTTAATATTCTCCTAAAAAGAATATCTAAAAAATGAAAATGTTCCTTAATCTTGTTGTTAAAGCAATGGTCCAGCTCTTTGGGATCCAGGATTTAGATAGTGTAAATATTCTGGCTTTGAACTACCGTCCGAGGTTTCTTTGATCAGTGAGTGTAAATTCAGTTTTCGTTCTAAGCCGGACAAAATTATATATGATTGAAAAGTTTTCTTGATCACGAGCTGTTAAAACAAAAACCATTTTAATACAGCAGAAATGCTATATTTCCAATTTACTCTGACTGATAAAAATCCCTGTTCTTTTGTATTTTATCAGAAGTTACTCAGATCATAGTGTTCGACAGTATATACGTGACAGCCTCGTGATCAGTTTTAAACATGGCTTAATCTATCTTTTTTTGTTGTTATCAAGTGTGCACGCACTACATGGAATCAACTCATGAGCCGTCGAGTGGACTGGGGGAGAGCAGAGATTCAGCTGAGCGCACGAGATATCAATTAAAATATTATTCTTCCAATGGCACAGCACTGTTTAAACTCAGTTTCAGAGCCAGTATCAAAGGAATATGATAGCATATATTGATAGGAAACACTCATGCCTATCACTAGATGTTTCCAGCCGATTTTGAACTTCAATATTCACGGTGATCGAAGCGTTCGACAGGTGAGATCAATCGAGCGCAAAAGTTAAGTGCGGGAGACATTCTTGCAACTGTTAATTTACCGCGACGATTAAGCTCTATATTTAAAGCCGTTTTCAATTGAACACGAGCGCCATGAATATAGTACATAATCACAGTTTAAAAAATTCTACGAAGTTTTAATTAAACTGAAACTACGTTTGCGGTTTCGAAACTCAACGATAACAATACTGCATTACCATTGGGGTTTTCCCATATTGTAAGGATGTAGCAAACATACGATTCGCACACGAGATATATTTAAGGGTCATTAACAGCCAAATGTATTTATTTAGTATAAAGCTATCCAGTATAAATTTCAAAGCCATTATTAGGGCAATTTGATACCATAAATTCGTAGTAACCGAGCCGCGCGCTATTCAGCAAAGTGAGCTTACGGTCACAATACAACGCAAGGCTTTTCCCATATTGTGAAGGGGAAACACACACGAAATATACATTAAGGGGCCATTAAAGACATATCTATTATAACTACACAAAAGATGGCGTGTAAAAATATAATCTTGTGGGCCTTTCATCACCGCTTCACGCACGACTGATTTCAATGTCGTAGCGACAAAGCGATGCGAAGGCAACACGTGCCGGAAGTCGATGACATGCTTCTTTGTTTGACCAAGCGTTTGCGGGGTTTTCCATGCATATAAATAGAGCCGTTGGCAAGCGGAAAAGTTAGTCATTCAAACATTTCGTCGAGAGCGGTGTCGGATTCTGGCGAATTCGATAAAGATAGACAACGAATAAAGACTTCTATATATCTAGAAAGCTTTTCAGAGTAAATGTGTGTTTTGTAGAACGGTCAATACGGACGAAATCGTAATAAATCTTAACTGATTCACATCGCGTGTTTTCGAATTTCACAAAAATCCCTGTGGGCCTTATTGTTGTATATTGTGTTTACGCTCGTCACGAATGAAAGTATAACGCGATACACTTTTCGTTTCGTTTCAAAAAGAATACAACGGTCTTTGGGCGACATTTAGTTTCGCTTTTCGTGAACACGTTGGCTTGCTTAAACGAAAGACGTACGGCACGTTACCTGCCATATAGAATGGGCGCGAGAATTTCGTCGACTAAACGATCAAACATGGAAGCCAGTGAAAGCAGATTACAAAGATACAAGAACATTAGTATCGTGACCATACCTTCGAAACCTAGTCCGAGCGCGCAAGCTAGACCAGAGAAATTAGACATAATCTTAGATAGACCAAAGCTAACAGACGAAGTAACGCGAGCACACGCTTGGAACCCAGAGGACAAATCGCCGAATGTATTTATAAAAGACGACAACCCATACGTTTTACATCGACACCCGGTCGCGCAAAGCACCGATTGTGTGAGAGGGAAAATTGGTTATAAACGAGGTTTTCACGTATGGGAAGTGCGATGGCCTTCAAGACAGCGCGGTACTCATGCGGTTATAGGAGTTGCTACGTCGAAAGCACCACTACAGTGTACGGGTTATCAAACGCTTGTTGGGAACAATCCTGAGAGCTGGGGTTGGGATATCGGCCGAAATAAACTATACCACGACGAAAAAAACATCTCAAAGAAGAACTATCCCGATACGAACGATAATTTCACTGCTCCCGAGTGCGTGCGTGTTGTTTTAGACATGGAGGAAGGAACATTGTCATTTGAGGCAAACGAACAGTTTTACGGCGTTGCTTTTCGTAATCTTAAAGGGAAAACAGTTTACCCCATTGTCTCGGCTGTTTGGGGGCATTGTGAGGTCGATATGCGATACCTGGGAGGCTTAGATCGTAAGTTTTTAAACAATTTTAATTTTCTTTCGTGTTTATATTGTTGTTACACATTGTTCTCTCATGAGATCTAGGTGGGAGCATGACGTCATATCCGGTTTCCGGTTCTGATGTAAATTCGCTCGGGGGAATGTGTTGTCTTGAGTGCTCTGAATCGCTTATTTTGAGTGCAATTTCCTTCGCATTTCTCGTGTTAAGCGTCATAGGGTATCATAAGACGAGTGTGTAGTATATTCGCTTTAAGAAAGCGTTCAAATATGAGTAGAAATGGTGATATTTTTGTAAGTTTGCATGTGGTTTTACCCTAAGGCTTAATTTGTAAACGCAACGCGGTTTACTGTGTTCCGGTTTAGTGTGTTCGAAAAACAACACGAACGTCAAATGGTTTATTGTTCTATATTTTAGCGGTTTCATCTTAAACCTTTACACAAAATAAGTAATTTTGTGTAAAATGTTTGAAATTTTAACAAATTAGATCATTATAAGCGTGAACTAGTACCAGCAAAGGTTTTTGTTGGGCCCGATAAACTTTCCAATTTATTTTTATACAGTCTAGCCTCTCAAATTTGTGAAATTATTGTGTTTAAAACTGAATATACTGAGGCTTTATATTGATAAATTCACTATCCAGTTATGTTTAAGGTCTACAGCTCGGTTTATTCAGTCGAAACAGCTTGGAAGCTCTAAATCATTGGTCGAAATAGACCGACAAAGATTTCTTTGCAAATCGTATCGTCTAGAAGTCTAGCCATCAATATTATTGTGCTCAAAAATGAATTCTGTAGCCATGTTTTGTTACATTATCCATCAAAGGCCAATAATTTTAAAGGCTTACGCTTTATATTCCTTTCATGAAATTTTAAAATAAGTCATAGTGTGAAAATTGGCTGACTAAAAGTTGACTCATGATGAACTCCACCATGTATTAACCGCGAACGGAAACTACGAGTAAACGCCTGTATCAAATGGCTCAGGCGTAAGTTACCGTCACTGAACATGTCAGAACCAAGAAAAGGTCAAGTTTTGTTATTAAAACATACTTTAGGGGGCCGTCGCCGTTGGCTTATGATATTCTATAGCCTTACATGGAAACAAACCCAAGTCATTGCCAAGTATTTTAATGTTGGGGCGGTTAAGCCTCAGTTTCCGGTCATTATTCGTTTTTCACTTGTATTTTATATTCGATTCAAGCATCTTATCACCTTTTTGAGCAAAGTATTCTGTACAGGTTCAAAATATAACGTATTAACAATGCTTTGTATATACGAATCTTACAGTACACAAATTTAAGACCAAAGGCATTATATAATATATATTACCCTGGCAAATATTTAGGGCTTTGTAGTACAGTGTTAATAGCACGTACAAGTAGACAGATATTGTCGGATGGCTTAGAGATATTAACCCTTCCTGATAAGATTTATGTCTGTGTCTATGACTATGTCTACGAAGTATGAAAATGGTTTCACTCTTAATAATTAAACAATTTTCAAACAGAAAACAAAACATGTCAAAATGCAATGCAGTGCCTTAATAAAATGTTGTAAGTTTGGAGCAAAGTGGGAAAGTCATTAGACTTATTACTGGTTCAAGACTCGCAAGCATGCAAAATGTTTCAATATTGCAAAATGAAAGGAACCAAAAGGAAATTTATAAGAAATCATCAGTTTTAATTTGTTTTTTGGCAATATTGAAAAGAGATTTTTGTTAGCATGAACGTTCCTACATTATGAATGGTTTAGTGTTCTTTAGTACTTATGAAAAGTTAGAAAGTGAAAAAGCAAAAAGAATTAGAAATCGAAACTGATGTAACAAAGTGTACTACCAAGTAATAATTAGAACAGAATTATTATTACATTTTAAAATAAGGAAAGTTCGAATTTCCTTTTTTTTAAATAAAGTCAAAAAAGAGGGTTATTATAATACAAGCAAAAAAAAGTTTATTGCAGTTTGTTTATATTCGTACATATCATTAAGACTTTAAAATAAAACTGAGATGAAAAAATGTCAGCCATTTTCTTTGTTTCAATATTTACGCAGTCATAAAATTTTGTATTGTTGGTTAAAAACTGATAAAAAACTATTTGTAAGCGTATTGTTTGCCATCGTGAAAATACAGCAAAAACCTTATAGCAACAGAGCTAAATTTGGCCACTTTGTTTATCGATGTTGAAACAATAGTGAAAGAAACGTTGTGAATACAAGTTACTCGTGGCCTAGTGGTTATGTTCGACAGCTTTGCTTGTGGGAAAGTGTCTTTGTTCCCTTTCAAAAACGCGTATTGAAACGCCTAATTAATTATGAAACGATAATTTGAATGCTAAGCAACAACACTTTTGTGAAAGAACAAGGCTGTTTTCTTTGTTGTAAGGTTTCTTTATTTTGTAAATTTCAATATGAAAGCGCTTTTGTGACGATGGCCTTAAAATTACGTGTGTCTTAGAAATAACAAGTCTTCAATTTTTGTTTCATTCGTATCAAATACATATATATATATAAAGTATATATTATAGGCAAAATAGTTTTCGTATAAAATTCATAGACTATAGCCAAATTCTAATACAAAACTTGTCTTTAGTTTGAATACAATTCTCATATAAACTTATAGGCCATGGACATTTAGTCAAAGGAACTTGCTTTTGCTCCTAATATGGCCATTACTAAATTGAAGAAGTCGGTATACTTTACACACTTAACATAAGTATATATGGCTTTGGCAGTTTGGGGATATACAATATATTGAATAGAAAGCTTTAGAAGTATATTGAATTGTTTCATTTTGTCTCTGTTTAATAGCCTACTATTATAATTAGGAAAGTTTCGGTTCGTCAGTACTGACGTTTTTGTGGTTGATAAAATAACTATTCACATAACTGTCATAAGTTTCAAATGTATAATATAAACCTTAGTACTTACGCTGTTAACCGGAAACATAAATCTATAAACGTTTCTAGATTTGGATATACGTAATCACAGAATTTTAAGCTACTTATACCGCTATGCCTATATGTATTTTAATCCAGATAAAATCATCATGAAGTATGATTTTGTGCAAGCCATAAGAGATGACACATTTTATACTTTTGTAGTTTCGAGATTTTACCAGATCAAAACTACTTACCCTATGATAATATCATAATAAGTATTTATGCTCTCATGCAAAATTGACATATAGCGAATATAAAAGACTTTCTTTCTCTCTCTCTCTAACAATTAAAAGTTATGTGAAACCTCAAAAATGTGAGAGATATCGTTTACAATGTTTAAATCTATACAAGACGTATATATTACAGAGTTTGTCGTATATTTGCCTCAGAAATACGTAACATGTAGCTTCAATATCAAAGGTCATTCTGGATCCTTATCGCATAATAGCCAGTTTGTCTAACGTTTATGACGTAATGTCTAAGGGCTATGACGATAGAAAGTGCTCCTTATATAGGTTATACGATGCATAGGAAGTTAAATTGCCAGAACCCCGTGGATATGCAGTAAGGAGATTTATAAGTCTTTATTGCCAGAAGTTCATGTCAGGCACTCTCAAGTCAAGTGTTTCAAAAATTCCAATATTTTTCCTATTTTTCTATAGTTATGTTTTAATTTGCCTATTCTAACTACAGTACGGGTGAATCTATAGACTCTGCTTAGAGATTTGGTAAATATATTTATAGCATGATTAGGAAGAATAGGTAAATAACACTTCATCGATTTATGAGGCATGTAAACACGTAAATCTGTGACGTACAGACGGAAAAACAAGCCAGTGCCCAGTGGCAGTGAAAAATTGTTTGAGGATTAAAATTGTTAGAATCTTAAATCGTAAAAGTAAATTGTCGCAGCAATAGTTTAGAGTTTGAAATAAGTTGCCTTGATTTGTACCTAAAGGATAAACTATCTTAAAATGTTTGACAGCCCTTTCGAAATTAGTTTTTGAGCAACGGATCTGGTCAGGAAGTTATTAGCCATCTGTTGATCAAAGAGCTTCATTTGAAACAAAAAGTGTTTTTACTAACTTTTGCATAAAAGGAAATTCACAATACGGTTTCTAAACAGGCTTTGTTTATAATCCTGCTTGTGAATTCATATATGCCATATGGACTTTTAATTTAAAAACGTCTTTTTGGACACAACAGCACAATGACAATGTAGGACACAAAATATTACCCAAGCTGGATACCAATGATCACGTTTAAAATGTCATTATAGTTTGAAAAGTAGTCTAAAGTTTCATTAAAACAGTTTTGTTTGCTAGTTTGGAAAGATAATTTTCTTCCTCATAATTCCTAAGTACGTACACATGTGTCTAGCCAAAATATTGCCTATAATATTGGGTCTGAGGTGCTTTTAACAATGGTGGGAAATGCCGAAAGGATCGTGCATTCAGTCATCACGGCAAACATTCGCTTAAAACAGCTGTGTTTTCTTAAGTTAAAGTGAGTATTTTATCACTCATCGAAAGAATGCGACCCGACCAAATGTCAATCCAGCTGTGTATATACTTGCTTTCTTTTGATTGGCCAATGCGATTTTCTAAGGGATTTCCCCTGACGCGCTATCTTCTTCATGATCAAGTTCAGTTATATTGCACGTGGGTCAGATCTTATAAATTTAAATATAAAATTCGTAGTTCCTATACATTCTAGAGGATACTCATGTTTTTTCTTCTTTTAATTCTAGCCGAACCTCAACCATTAATGGAATTATGTCGAAGAAGTATACGAAAGTCAATGGGAAAGCAAAGGTTACTAAAAGTTCAAGACAATGTTGAGAAATTGCCATTACCTGGTTGCTTAAAAAGATATATCCAATATCAATGGTAGGATGAAGACTACGACATTGACCTTCTTCAGACTTCTTCCCATTAGAAAAGACTTTGACATCACCTGAAACACAAATGAAGTATTTATTGAACAATGAACATTCCCATCAGCATCAATGACAGCAATGATGAAATCATTCATTCTGGCAGCATTCTGATGGTATTGTATAAAGTCAAAGACAATGAAACCCCCATGTAAACATTTTCACCGAAGCTGATTCGGCCTGTTTTCTGCAGGTTCTAACTGACTAGAGGTTTGCAGGAGCTCATGCATTTATACTTGACTGGTACAGTAATTACCAGTTATTTGGAAGATTCTTAACAGTAACCATCTCTAAATATAAGCAACCCCAAAATTAATGTACATAATTTGCCCTCATTGCACATATGCCCAATCTTAATTAATCTGCAACTTTATTACCTCAAAACTCAAACCTTAAAAAGTTAGCTTGATAGACATGACTGACTAACTCAGGATGGTAATGGTACATGCATATTTTATACCATACTGCCATATTATTATCATATGAAACAAATTGCAAAAATACATATCTAATATCCAGCCAGATACCGGATATTGTATTAAGAAAAGTTCAGACCTTGTTTCCAAGTTAAAAAATGATTTGATATTGTTAAGAAGGTATGGATGTCTACAGTATTTTTACTTGAAATGACCAGAGAGAAGCTGGTAGTATTGTCATTTAGTCATGCTTGTTTGTGAATGCAAAAAAGTGGGTTCACCTTTGAAATTTGTGGGCAAGGCTTTTGCAACTACCAGTGTTCAAGTTTATCAATGTTAGACTGCAAAGTTCTTTCTTATTATTTCAAGTCAAAATATTATAAACCCTCACTTTATATTAACCAATTAAAATCATAAAAAATATCAAGTACCTGGCCCAATAATTTGGTCAGATATTTTTCAACTGTCCAGTATCCGGCCAGATAGCAAAAAGAGCTCTATGTGGTGGACCATACATTCTATGTTAGTCAACTTATAAAAGCAATTTCTTGAACACAATGACACATGAAGTCAGTTTAAAATTTTGTTCAAATGTACCCCTACTGTATAATTTTCCCTCAAGCAAAGTTATATACAGTAATCTCATTTGAAATGCTTATATTTGGGGCGTTACTGGTTTATTGACATTTTTGGATGCACCAGATTAATTTCATATTTATATTAACACTATTAAAAGAACTTTCAAATAGAGATTTTAATATTTACTTATAAAAATCATACCTATTCATAAGATAGATTTATAAACTAATATTATTATAGTTTCTTTATTTATTATAAAGTCATTTTGGCTTTTCAGCCAAAGCAGACAGAGAACTATATGTTATATATAAGATTTAAACTAATTTGGAAATAGTAAGTTATTGGATAGATTTTTGTATGGAAAAGGCAGCAGACAATTTTGCTGTGACTAATATTTGCCACAGTAATTAATATTTTGTTCTGGTTCATTTTTACAAGAGTCAAATGTATATTTAAGATGCATTGTACATTATTTAATGTTTAAGTATTGAATCAATATAATATTAAAAATTTTTCAATATATTTTTGTAATTGTAGCCTTTTAATTGATACTTCTTGGGATTGGCAACAAAAAGATTGACACTGTGACAGTTATAGATTAACCCATTGAGTATGTGCTCTCCCCTTGATGAACAAAATCATCTGGCATTAGACAAAGTAAAATAATCTGGCACTAAATGGAGATAATAAAGTAGGGTGAATTAGGGCACAATGTGACTAGACACATGATTAATTGCGGACACGGACACTAGAGTGACTAGATACATTATTTGTGGCTAGAGCAGACATTCCAACTCTCCCGATTTTACCGGGAGTCTCCCGAAAATTCATGCAATCTCCTGGTCTCCCGATTTTTATGAAATTCTCCCGATTTTTCAGAATATTCAGGAAATATCGTAAAAAATCATAAATATACTGTTTTTAGCACCATAATAGTTTGTCTTGACCTTTTTATTAAGTTACTTTATGGCAATTTATAGGTTCACTTATAACAACATCTTCCCAAAAGCAGGAAACGCCATTTCAGAAGACTTAATTTTTATTATTTTTTTCCCAGAAGAACTAGATTTCAATTCATTGAACAGTCTCCCTAAATTTTACCTCCAGTATTTGGAATGTCTGCTAGAGCTCAACAACTGGACTGTGTACGTAGCTCAGTTGGTTAGAGTGCTGCACCGGAATCACAGAGCTGCAGGCTCCATTCCTGACATAGGGCCTATAGTAAGTTGCATTTTTTCAGCTGCTCCTGGTTAGATATAAAAAAGTATGTAATCTTCTGCTCAGAATTTCCATCTACAAAAACCCTTCAAGATAGCATGATTAACACATTGAGCACTTGCACTCTCCTTTGACAAGTAAAATCATTTTGCATTAGACAGAGTAAAGTAATAAAGTAGGGAGCAATGCAACTTTAAGGGGAATTCCAATCAGCGAACTAATGCATGTTTTTGACTGTTGCTATCCATGCACAAACTTACCACTGTTATCATGTTATGATAACACAAGTATAGAGTGGAACAAATTCTGCCCACCCCACCCACAATTTCTGAATGCTCTTGAATAGCAGATGAATATAAGTAAGCAAAAAAGCTGTATATATTAAGGGTCAAAAAAATTTTCTGGTTGAACATTAGTTAAACTAAGGTTCAAAAAAATTTTTTCCGGACAAACTCCTATTACAACATCAGTCAAACCCTTTTTTTCTATCAATAAATTTAAAATTTTGGTTTATAAAATGTTTTCTCATACCATTATTTATATATCAAAAAACGTTCGGAATTATTTTTTTTAGTTTTTGCAAAATTATTTGGGAGCCCCCCCATAACTGGGGGCCTGGGGCAAATTGCCCCCAGTGCCCCTCCCCCTCTGAAAGGCCCTGGCTACAAGTTTAAAAATAGGTCTGTCATGTTCATTTTATATATCCCCCTTCCCCACCCCATCATTTCTGACCAGTGTATATCTCATACACCTATGTACAGAGATATACACTGGTCAGCAATGATGGGGTGGGGAAGGGGGATATATAAAATGTACATGACAGACCTAGAGGGGGGAGGCACTGTCCCAAAAATTTAAGACAACTCAACAGACCTAGAGGGGGAGCACTGGCCCCAAAAACAGAAGAGGGGGGGCACTGCCCCCCAAAATTTAGAAAACCATGGAAATGTAAAAAATTTGGGCAAATGTATCACAAAATATGTTAAATTCAGGTCATTACATTACCATATATTTCACAAAAATTCGGAGGAAATTTCCCAAATGCCCCCCGGAAAATTATGAGGCCCATACGCTTATATCTCGGTGTGGAAGAACATGCAGGTTGTTACAGTCTCATGGGTGTGCAGCAGAGTTGTTACAAGGTTTTTTACATTGACTTGGTATCAAGTTGTTGTCAGACTGTTTGTCCCAAGCTTGCTGACAAGTCATTACAGTCCTGTAGTAAATGTGGTACAAGCTTGTTCAACAAGCTGCATGATTTTGGGTTGTACTGCCCCAATAATTTCTGAAAGCTGCTGTAACTATAATTTTTCAACCATATTTTAATATTGCAACAAGCATTGGTAGGCTGTAAAAGATATGGTATGTATATTCCATGAAAGTTATCGCAAAAAGTTTAAAGAACTATGATTTCCAGCTACATAAGGTGGTCATAGAGTATGTTGGTAACCTGCAGTATTAAGACCCCCCAACCCCAATATTTCTAAGTGCCTGCCCTCCCACGGTTGTTAGAAACTTGTAGCAATTTGATAAAAATCCCGCAAAGCATTGCTGGGAATTTGAAAATGCTTTCGTTCAAGCACCAAAATCTAAACTATAAAATATTCTAATATTTATACCAAAAAGTTTCCCTGCAAATGCTACAAGTGACTAGATCAAGAAACGAGCCACTTTTACTTTATTAAGCCCAGATAGATATAAAAAACTTGATTATAAACCCTCATTAATATAAACTGCACTTTTATAATAACTGTTAAAACAGCATGGGGTCAGCATGTACATTGTACAGTACACATGCAATAAATATATAATTAAATTAAATATATGCAATAACTGATATCCTACTTACCTAAACTCCACTGCAATTGGAGCATTTATTATCTCAAAACGACATAAAATCATAAAAGTATTCATCAGATCTGACAGATACTGCTTCTTCGCCTTGCTTCGACTTTGTTCTTTTTTAAATCCCGCGCGTTTTGCCAAGTGCGTGCCTCGCGTGGTCGCGTTGGCCAACACGTGACCCAATATTTCACGCAAAAAATTCTAAAATATAATTATTCTGTTTTAAAAAATTCTGCTTCAATAAAAAGCACCACTTTCGATCCGTTGGAGAACGATATAAATTGTGTTTGTGCAAAAAGTGGTTATATACAATATAATAACGAATGATGACATGCATACAGTAAGCCTACTACATTTCAATTTAGTTTTTAATCATTAATGAAAGTTTCGAATCAGTTTTGCCGGGAAAACATGCGTTTAAAAATACCGCAATTTTTTATTCCAATTATCATTTGTATGTTAGTATTTTTGTCAATAAGGTAAAATAAATAAAAATCTTTACAGTCGTCTTTGCTGAATTTATCTCTTTCCATACTCGACATTCAATATTGTCTCAATCAGTCCGCTCATTTCACCAAGGCATTGCCTGACATCCTCGAGATACTTCAAGTAACACGCATCATCTTGCACCATCTTCGCGACATTTCCGCGCAATCGTTCCACGCGCGTGACGACACGCGAGATTCCGCGGACTTGTACTTGGCACAACTCCTCCAAGACCCTATTAAAAGTTCCATAGTCGTTTCCAAGTTGAATTTTCAGGCGGCGGGATAGTTCGCGCACGGAACGAATACACGGTATTTCCTGACCATAACATTCTACATTTTCGAATACCAAATCGAGTTTCGTAATGGCCTTCAGTAAGAACTGCAGATTATGGCGAATTTTCGTCTCGTTGGACGCTGGTCTAATGCGCCCATTTTCAACTTCGAATTCCGGTTGATTAAAGGACTCGTTTGAGTCCAATTCCAATTCGCGGTTTCTAGCCTTGGAGCTTATATTCATCTCGGCACTGGGATGCCATGCAGTTGAGTATGAAACGCCGTTATTGTTTTGACGTTTCTTATGACAGCTGGCAAGGCAATTGGATGTAAATTAGGGCCATTTACTGGTGATGCACGCATAGGGCGTAAAACACATGCAAATACATAATCTCTTACTGCAGGATCGAAATCCTGAACTGGGTGACTCTATCAGTGCATGTTAAACTGTGTTTTCCCAGAGATCCCTTTTTGTTCTTCTGTGCTACAGGAGAAACCTTGCACTAGACTAGCTTTATTTATAATGGATACTCCCAATCGATTTTAAACTGATCATTCTCCGGAGCTAGAGGTCATGTAAGTACCGTGTTACTACCGGAAGAAAACTCGAACTAAACCGAACTCTATTTGTAATGAATAGCTCTATCAGTTCTAAACTGTTCTCTTTAGAGGTCCAGTAAGTGAAATCCCTAATTGCTCCAATGTTACTACAATTAAAAGAACACTAATCTAACCTAACATTATTTATAATGATGAATGGCTCTGTCAGTTCTAATCTGTCCTCCCAGTATGTGAGTTTTATACTGTCTTCGCTGGGGTACTGTAAAATGCATCAAATACTGTTCCAATGTTCTAGTGCGGTTAAATATGGAATGATAATATTGTTCATGCAGTTACATTTCAGTTTTGCGTTGAGTTGTGTTGTCAGGGCGTTGGCCATGCATATATTGTCAAGAGTTCGCAAACGTAAACAACATTAGTTTGGTACAAATAAGCCAATCAGCTGACCTGACGACTTTAAAGCAATTAGATTAAATAGCTTAACAATATCTCACTCCTCAGTGAGTTATGCACTTACGCTTCGGTTTTCTACTGAATTAACCCTGAATCAAGAAGGGATGGTTCTTACCAGTGCTCTAATTAAGGCTAACAGCTTGAGGCTAATAGAGTTACCCAGAGATCTAACCAAAACTACAATCCTCGCAATAATTATTGTAGACAGTGCGCACGGAAATAGAAATAGCTGACTTGTCCAATACATATTCGTGTACAAACAGCAATTTTAAATTTCCCCTTCCCCCGTTCAATGTTGAGAGCTAATAAATTGATTAGGTAAAATGCATGTCAAAATCAACATTGTGGGGCGGGGGAGACAAAGACGCCAACATGTGTATGTGAACAGTAACACTTTAGTTTACATCTAAGTGTAATTTTGCCATGCATGATTGTAGTTTGAGTTTGGTTTCTCCAATGCAGTGGACCTTATAACTTATAAGATAGACCAATTTGGAAAATAAGTTAGTTTAGGCTTCCTATGCTGTTCAGTTGATGTAACAATGGAGCAACAAATTAAAGATGGCCCTCATGCACTGATAAAGTAGTCCCTGTACATAATTATCTAGTTTATCTAATCTACATGCAGCAACTGCTCACTTAGAACTAATAGAATTTTACAAGTAAATATGGATGTTTGAAAACCAACAGTCTGAAAAACAGTTTTAAAGTGATATAGAACTACCGAGCTTAAATAAATAAGTTAGTTTGGTCACATTCTGTTTCCATCCGTCTCTACAATCCGTCTTTGCAACCACTATACATTCGCTTCCGGTACACGCAATATTAAGAAAACGAAAATAAAAGATACGCCATGCTTTAGAACGGGTTACCATCGTAAACTAATATTTATTTTTACATTATTGCCGCCCTTAAAAATGTATCAAGCATAGCGAAACGCATTGTTGTTTCAAGTCATAATTTCAGAGCCAAAAATATCCCTACTTGAAATTTTAACGCATTAACGGTCAGTTAGGCGAGCTTCCTAGCGGAACGGTAACCTGCTGTATGCCTCACCGCTCCACTGCTTTGTTTATTAAACTCAAACTGACGAAAAATTGTCTCCGTTCAGAAATGGTTCTACTTAACCTCTAAAGAAAACAGTTTAGAACAGAAATAGAGCTATAGTCGAGTATAAATATAGTCAGTTCAGATTTGATTGCTCCTGTACTCTGTAGTACTAAATCAACAGGGCCTCTAGCTCTAAGAAGAACAGTTTAAAACTAATAGAGCTATCCCGTAAATATAGTTAATTAATTTACTTTGGTGTAGCAAGGCTAACTGTAGATGAAATAAGAGATGATCGTTGCACAGAGAACCGTTTAGAATTAAAAGTGAAAGAGCTAGCCATTGTAGAGAAAATTATAGCACAACTTGCATTGCTTTATGTGAGCGTTTCCTTCCTTTCGGTTGTTAAAAAATGAAAAGTAATTTTGAAATTAAGTCAATCAGTTGATTGATGCAAAAATTCACTCGTTTATGATCTACTTTCAATTTTTATGGGGCTTGTTGCTAGCGTCAATCAGCCGGAACGACAATGTTATATATCAAATGTGTTTAGTTTAGTTTAATTAATAGATTTGCCACATTCCACAATATTTACAAGACATATTGTCTGACAGGCAGCAGTCGGCAACTGTACAATCCAAGCGCCAAAAGTATAAATTATAAACCATGTATACCCCTGGGAATTGCCAAAACAACAAGGAGCTATGGTCGTAGGCTACCTAAAAGCTAAAATATTACAATTTGGTATACCCATCATGCTATAGTGGTAACGCTTGGAATGTACAATACATGATTCCACCTATAGACTAAATTTTGATCAAAGCAAGAAAAACAAACAATGCTAGAAAGTAGAAAGAGGTTCAAAGAGCATGTTAAAATTAGTAAAATGCAGTTTGACCGCGACGTGTTGTAAAATGCGGAAATATAGCCCTGCGAAATTTGCAAATTATATAGGTATTAATTTGTATTATACGCACGGAAAATGCACTACTTTCGGGCCATATGTGGTGTATTTTCCCGCGCGTAATGCAAATTAATATAGAAAATTTGCAAATTTCGCAGGGCTATATTTTCCGCATTTTACAACATTTCGCGGCCAAACTTTGCTATTTTACTAATTTTAACATGCCCTTATCTAGCTGCCTGTGGTGATTCAAGAGGTGATGGATTTTGTTCTTCTTGCCTATAGATCAAAATTTAGTCTGCAGCTGGAATCATCTATATTGACTATGACAAGTTTAATTGAAATAGTTGTATATATATTATATACAATAATACAACGGCAGGAATTGAGTACAGGACTATACTCTATAGTGCCAATTGCCACCCAATCCTCCTAGGGAGTTTTATAGCTACAGGTAACAAGAGAACAAGATTACTTACATTACTAAAGTTTGTTTGCCTCTTTTGAATTGTATTCCCTTGAGCATTCTAGTACGCCGTAGTTGTTCAAACCGTTATGTTATTTGCATCATTTTCATGGCTCCAATAACTTCACCAACAATTAAAACTTTCTAAGCCATGTTTGGTTTTTAATGTGATTACATTGACTATACTACTACTTAAAGTTGCTTAGAAGAAAGATAAGTATACTTTAAAAAAAAATACTTATGTTTCTTTTAATGAATTCACATTAATTAAACACCAAACATGGCTTCGAAAGTTTTAACTGTTGGAGACGTTATGAGCCATGGGAATGATGCAAATAACGTACTAAAAGTTTACTACGGCGTACTAGAATGCTCAAGGGAATACAATAATCGCCTTTGTCCTAGAGTAAAAATTCTATAATTGTTGGTGATCACGTTGTATTTGCCAAACTCACTATTAACAGATTCAATTGTATACGTTCAGATTCATTAATGCTACTTACTCTGAACCCAATCAATATTGCCAATGTTAATAGGTCGGGAGTTTATTACTAGGCGAGACCTAAACTAAAGTCGTATCAAATAACACCAGAAAACTCTGTAGATGGATTACTGACTGTAGTTTGGCTACTAACTTCCTGACGAATGGCGAATCGCTCGAAACGTCGAAGTTTTACTTGTACTTTTTCAGGTAACGAATCCTGTTCGAGTTCGTATCACATAATGTAAGTCGGAAACTAAATATTTTGAAACATTGGGTGAAGTGTGCATCGGGCGTCATTTGGTGACATCGAAACCAAAACGAAATTAAAGTTGATTTCTTTTTATAACACTTTCGATCTCTAAGCCCGAATCCTCATCTGTGCAAACAACATAGTGCAAGGTTTCAATATAATCGCACAGGATCGGAGGAAACTCGAATATCCGGAGCAAGGCTGCTGTGCTTGGTAAACTCAAACTGAAAGCACTATTCTCACATAGGACTGAAACTAATTTATAATATATAATAAAGGTGCGGATCGATGTATATATATCTCTCAATCTGCAGCTGTGTTGTTCTCGTCGCTATATCTGCACAATAGATTATATACAGTAAAGCTGCATATTTCAAGAATCAAACCTCTGTCACAGAATCCTCAGAAACAAAACCTATTCCTCCTAATTTTTCAAACCAAGACAAAGTGCAATAGGAATAGAAATAGGAAGCAAGCATCACAAATCACACGTTTCGTATGCTAATTTTCTCTGGGTGTTGCCGTATATATTATTGTTGCCACCAGATACCAGTAATGACGCAACGTGCAGCGCTGACCGCGCCCATGAGAAACGATGCGCGCAAAAGCTTCCATTTTGCAGCCCTCTGATTTCGATCTTACATGGTGTATTAAACGAAACGGAGATTTTGAGCTAGATTTCTACGGTATATACATGAATGGAATCTGCATGAGGAGATGCGTTAGAGCAGAAGTATCTTGGATGAAGCAATTTTCTCGATAGAAATTGGAATCACGTCACCTCAGGTATGTTATAACACAATCTGTTACTAATTAGGTTAAATGTATAGTACGCTGCAGGATAGACGATCGAGTAAGTTTTAATTCATACTGCAATTTTATTTGATAAAAGCAAACTTTCTATACCAGGCGTTTGTGTAGAAACGATACCTATATATTACATCAATATATCACTGCAACCCATGCAAGGCTGGCTATAGCTAGCTAAGTTCTCAAATTACTTTATGCTGATCCAAACAAACGAACAAAATTCGTATACTTTGCCAATTTTTTCATGACAGGTACACTGGAATTTTTTTCAAATCCTTACTATGAAATTAGTATGGCTCTTAGTTGGAAATCCAATTTTCATACTGATTGCAATTTCCATATGGATATAGTATGGAAATAGTATAATAATATTGTGGATATATACTATGGATTTAGTGTTGCAATCGCAATTCCATAGCATGAATTTCATTCTTTCTTTCCGATGAGAAAACGTGGCAAAGTTACCTTTAATTTTCAGTATGAACACTTGTCATATAGAAAACGTGCTTGGTCCAGCCGAAGAGACTTTTATTTATATTACTGTAGTTTAATTAAATAACTCTGTCACACTTGAGACTTCAATAATGGGCGAACCCGATTGCCCAAAAAACTTTACTACATTCACAGTGACTCAAAATATTGAGTACACTGTTAATTCAAAAGAGTGAAAAAATGCACTCATTTTTTTAGTAAATTAGTTTTAAATCTTTACTCAAAACATTGAATACATTTGAAACTTTACTAAAAATTAAAAATTGAGACTTGAATAAATTTGCTTATAAATATGATAAATTTCATAAACATGATAAATATGATAAACTTCATTCAAAATTTCGAGTCACTGTGTGTGCAGTCACTACTGAAGTCTCATGTTTAAAGTTTTCCCCAAGTCAGTGTCATGTTAATACAGAACTGGTGCGGATTTGGTTGTCTAAGGCCCCGTTTACACTATATATAACGGATTACTTTTCATACCGGATTAATATTTACTCCGAAGTAAAAAAAACTAGGGTGTTTACACTATGCCGCTTCGCTCTGTTGCCAGCTTATGTCTTTCACTGTCGCCATGAAAACAAGTAACCAATATACCAACATTTATTAAAAACAAGAAGTAACACCCGTTTTCTTTGCAAAGTATAACTTTGTTTAAAAAGCTTGACCACCAGACGTTGCTTCGTTTCGCTCTAATCCAAAATTGACGAGTATTTCTTTAAATTTTGCTCTTTCGAAAGCGAAAAGTCACTGTTATTATCATGTTATTGTCTTCGGCAGAAATAGGAAATGGTTGTAAGGCCTAACAAACAACAGCTATAAAGTATTGTAAAAGCCAGCAAATAAAGGCGACAATGTTAAAACATACACGCCAAAACCGATTTTGTACCGAAGCGTAGCCTGTTTACACTGCTCCGGCGCATACCGGATTACTTTTCATATCACCTCCAAAGCGGAGCTGAGTGATTTTGCTCCGCGTCGCGGATTACTGTGGCGTAGTGTAAACAGCAGCCGAATCCGATATGAAAATCGCTATGCTCCGATGCAATCCGATATATTGTAAACGGGGCCTCCATAAGATTCAAACTGCAACGCTCCTATTATTTTATTTTAACTGCCACAATAATAACAAAGATCGTAGCTAATAGAAGAGGGGGCTGGGGAGCGAGGCTGCGGCCCCTCAGTGCCTCACTAATGTTGGTCAAATTGCAGTCGGACAAATGATACTAAAAAATCTGGAAATTCTCCCGCCCCTCACCCACCCCGTCGACAGGAATTTGGGGAATACATAACGGAAAAATTGGGGGGGGGGTCGGGCAAAATGCACGAAATGGCCTTTCAGAGGCTCTGAATTTCAAAATTTTCCGGGGGGAGTAAGCCCCTGGACACCACTACAAGGTTCGCGCCTTTGGCGCTGGCTAAAATTGGTAGCTAAAATTCATAATTACATAACACAACCGACAATATTAACAAAAACATGAACAACTGGTAAGAGCAGAAATGTGGCAGCCGTACAAGATACGCAATTGGCATGCGATCGTTGCAAAATTATAAATGTATACATAATGCACTAACCAGAAGTTGTCCCTCCCGAACTTCTCTAGTAGAGTAAGTATAAGCCCCGGTCAAACGATGACAGTTGATGAGAATAGACAAGCAAGAGTTTGCATGAGAATTTTCTCAACTCTCATGCCCTAGCTTGTGAACGAGAACAATAATTGCACAAGGATTGGTGAAAAAGTTGGCCAGATATTATTAATCATGCTTTCGCTCGCTAGCTATTCTGGTTTATATAAATGAATACAAAGCCCAGTCGAATTGTAATCAAGACCCAACGTTTCGATACTCCAGTCTAATGTCTTCATCAGGGGTGATCTAAATGTGGTGGCTTCTTATATACCCAAGGGATGACGTCATCTTGCATAAGATGCATGTATTCCTCTGGCAAGTAGGCACATGATTACAGTTAAACAAGAAAAAACTCTCATCAACTTTCATCAAAATATGAACCAGCTCAAAGTTGATAAGGGTGGCATGATAAGGGTGCACGAGAGTTAACGAGAGTTCGCACAACACGAGCAACTCTTATCTTATCTATCCTCCTATCATTACACAACCTTTCTCAACTTTCATCCGATATTTCAGGGTGCACGTTACTGCCTCAAACAATACAACAAAGGTCGGATCTTTCCTTAAGAAATGCTTCTGACTTTTCTCCTTTTGGTGTGAGAACTGAAAGATTTAAAAAATCGTTTTTTCCTTCAACTACTATGTTATGGAATAGCATTGATATTATTGATCGAAATTCAAAGTCGATTGGTTTATTTAAGAGCTCGTTAACTTCGTTTTTTTGACATTCAAACTTATACCGGCTATCATGATTTTTCTATTGATAGGTATTCTTCTATCTTACACACTCTTTTGCCCCTTCATTGTAATGCTTTAAATTATTATTTGTTTAAAATTAATTGTAGATTATCTCCAGCATGTTCATGTGGAGATACTTGTGAATCAGTCATTCTTTATTTGTTATATTGTCCTCGTTATGCTGCTCTTAGATTATCCTTACTCTCGGTAGCTGCTCAAATTTATGGTGAAGGCTGGTATCTCTTGTCAGATTCCCAAAAGTCTAAAATATTTTTGTTTGGTTGAACTGATTTGAGTGTAGAAAGTAATAGATGTATATTTATGCATGTTCAAAAATATATTAAGCAAACTAATCGTTTTTCTAAGAATTAATTTATTACTTCTGAACCTTCAATTGAACCAGCTTTTATCACTTTTGTTGTTGTTTTTTCCCTCTTTCTTTGTAATGTTCGTCTTCTCCTGTTGTGTATATTATTTAATTATTTGTATTGTCAAATGTAGTGTAGTGCATGTGAGCCCCTCGATGAGCGTCCACGCTTTGGGTAAACACTAAAGTTAATAAATATGTTTATATTTCAGGGCTAAAGTGCATGAGCAATTACTTTCCACACTAAGCAATACGGATGTTACGAAGATTGTTTCTAGGCCAGCCTCGGCGAGATGAGATTAAGGATGGCAAGAAAGAAATATGCGAGGGAGAAAAACGGTAACTTGCATTTTGAATGCTTCGATTCTTTCTTTCAACTATCTGCATATGATCATGTTTTGTTTATAGTAACTGAAAAAACACGTTTATGTAATTATAGCACTCCCATTGCATTCATGAAGGAATCAACTGCAAACAATTTGGAAGAGAAACATGAGGCAAAAGATGATATATTCGACAGGTTACTCTGCTCACTTGATGCTATTTTGTATAATATTTAAGCATGTTTTATTTAACAATTATTTACCGAAGTGGAGAATAGTGATGTTTTAACATATACCATAACAAAACAAAACAAAAAACAGAGGGAGGAGCCAAAGTCATGCACCTGACCTTACCAGGTGCCCTAGATAAAATATCAGCGATCCGCTATTACTTCCGGGCACCTGACTATGACCGCAACCCGCGTTTACTGTTCGCTCCATTTATAACTTACTTAACATTCACCTTCTTATCTAACAAAACAAGAAAAACAGAGATAGAAGCCGAAGTCATGCACCTGACCTTACCAGGTGCCCTAGATAAAATATCAGCGATCCGCTATTACTTCCCGGTACTTGACTATGACCGCAACCCGCAGTACTGTTCGCTCCATTCATAACTTACTTAACATTCACCTTATCATCTGGTGTGGACGCGGACACCATACTGTAGCAATGTTGCTTCTGCACTAAAGCGCAGTCGAGCTAATGACCAAAAAACAACGAAAATAATATTTTAAATTTAAAACTGTTTATATATTCAGTTCTCGTAATAAATAGTTGTAAACAAAACAACATTTACCCTCTTTTATAGTAACATTGTTCATTAGAAATAGCTTTAAAGAGAACAAAAACTTTATAACTTTCTTCGTGTTTGGCGAAACCGCAGCTTCATTTAGTACAAAAATTTGCTCATCTGTAACCGGAACGAAACGGGAAGCCATTTTGTTTTTGTTTGGAGATGAATTGAGAAAGGATATCCAGAGCTGAGCGACCAATCAAAATGCATGAAAAGCACTATCCATATCCCGAGCATCTTTCTCCATGCAGTGTTATACTACAATCAAAAAGTCAACTGAACTTAAGGCTATGTTGCACGGGACAATTTTTGCTGCAACTTGCATGCAATGCAAATACCTGAGGGAGGCCTGCGGTGAAGGAATAGAAGCCCACTGCTAGCTACTTTGTGAAACTTGTAATATATTAACCTATTACAGGAAAATACAGAACACAACAACGACAACAATGGCGTTTAACTTGACACAAAAACACGACTGCGGACAAACATGACAGCTACGAAGTAGAACTGACGTAAGAAATGAAATATTTTCTGTTCATGCATGTGGAATGTACTCAGAATGTCCACATCAACACTGTAAAAACGTCATTTTCAATATTTCAGTGATTCAGAGACAGACAGCAGTGAGACAGAGGATAGCGATGCAGAAACTCTGGACAACTCCTCCAGGACTGGCAGTTACGAAGATTGTTCTGGGGATGTCTTGGGGTGGAAGGGATTTGAAATGGTGAGAGATACACAACGTGGCCAGATCGGTTCAAGTAAAAGCAACGGAGGTACTCTTGGTAAGGTGGAGGACATCATACTTTAATGGAGTGAGGCTAATTACAGTTGGGGGGATAAATAGAAAAAAATGGGTATATATGGTACTCCACTTAACCCAAACACAACAAAGAGAACGTCATAAAAGGGGAAACAGCTATTTAGTATAGCCATAATTAACTTCAACTAGGAGGGATGTCGCCGTGTATGGAGTTAATTCATTATTCGAATGATAATATGTTCATAACATGCTTTAATTTTTACAGAAATGGTGGAAAATCCTAAAGGCCAAGAGAATCCCTTTGCCAATGCCTTCCAAATCCAAGAAAACGAAATGCCACACATTCATGATAAGATTAAAAGTGAAATCATCATCAACAACGACAACGACAACGACAACGACAACGGCAACACCAACAACAACAACAACAGCAACAGCAACAGCAACAACAACAACAACAACAGCAACAGCAACAACAACAACAACAACAACAGCAACAGCAAAAGCAACAACAACAACAACAACAACAACAACAACAACGACAACGACAACGACAACGACAACAACAACGAATCCAACATCAACAGCAATAGCACCAACAGCAAAACTAACAACAAGCAAATACACCAAGCAATTGACAACGAAACTGCAACAATAACAGCAACAACAACAACAACACAAACAAGCATAGCTCCTACAAAGGGTAGGAAAATCCCCACAAAATCAACAAAAAATATAAAAAACAACAATAACGACAACGAAAAACAAATAAACAATTCCAAACAAAAAATAAACAAAACCAGACAAACAAAATTCGACCAATCAAAAACAACAATGCAATTCCCCAAACCATCAACAACCAATCAAAAGCCTCCTAATATCAAGGCTAAAGGGATTTCTCGCCATTATTCAATCCGTGAAAACCAACACACGTCAAGCATCAAGGAACAAACCACCAGCAGAATTAATACAGGAAGTAAGACTATTTCTTCAACAAATAAAGCGGGAATAGGTCCCAAGGCTCAAAACTCATTGACGGGGTGTACAAGTGCATCAGTTGATACAAAGTGGCATCAAGTTATTGGGAAGGATAAGACGGGATTGAGAGGGACTAGAATTGGCAACAAAGGAAAGCAAGGCAACCTCAACTCTACACACGTTTCTGTGCAAGATTTGGAAAAAATTCTTGGAGTGAATCTGACAGAATTAAAAGAGGTTATCAAGACATATAAATCTGAGAAAATAAGTACAGCAGGGGATTGCCCAGGGCAGAACGATGCCGCTCAGGGTTCGCCAGGAATGGTTGGGGATAATTTGGTTGATCGAAAGAATTCGCAAGATGAATGCAAGGAAGACGGGACTAAGGAACGGAAAAGTGAAATATTAGATAATAAAGGTAACTATAATAATAATCCATTGCTACTAGAAGCAATATCGTTTCCAGTTTGACTACAACACGTTCCTTCACTAGTACTAATCACACCAGACCAATGAAGAATAATTAATGCACCTCTACACTGACAGTTCAGAACATGGGCGTACGGGAAGGAAAAATTAGGGGGGGGGGGGGCGGAAAGAAATTTGCCCGACTTTTTCGGATTGTGCCCGAGTTGTCAAAAAAAATTTTCCGGAGAAACTTTCCTAAATTGTTGCCGACGGGGGGGGAGGAGAGATTAGGAAAAATTCCTATTAGATAGCATATTTCCCACAAAATTGACAGAATTTCCCACAAAATTGACTGTGAAGCGAATATTGCGCGACTGGCTTTGTTTGCCCAACAAACTGTGGGATTGCCGCCCCCCCCCCGCCCGGTACGCCCATCGTTCTGAACTGATCGGGCTGTCCGTTAGTGTAGTTCCACCTGCGGTTTACACAGAACTGATTGAGGAATCTACTTTAAATTAGTTCGAATCGGAGTGTACTTAAGTCGTTTTTCAAACAAGTTTTACTCAATCCAGTCTTAACTTCGAAATAGTAAAAATAGAAAAAGGAACACCTTCAAAGTTACTGCTACTTTATTCTCAACATTCAAAATTATCTGTCACGTTGCTTAAACATTTTGGTCGAGTATCACGCG